TCTTTAAATTGATCTCTTTTTGGATTCGTGTCAGTTTCATCTTTCAAGTGTTTAATTGGTGAAACTAACTAGACATTGAATCCAGATTTGCATCAACTTCATCATAACATCATTTGCATAAGTTGATTTGATTTCGGTGCCAAGTGAAGAGCTCACGAGGAGCTGCCACTACGTGAAGACCGAAGGAGTTCATCTCGTGTAAGGCAAAGTTGCACAAAGGTAAAGTTGCTTCATAGATAGGGATCTATGAATTGAGCTTTGCGTGGTACTTTGTAAGAATTTTGTTTACACTAGTGGATTGGACTCAGTGGAGAGTCTCCGATTTTTTAACCCAGAGGTGGGGTTTTCCAACCCAAAACTTCTTGTTTTCTTTGCCTCTTAAACTTGCCCACATATCTTATTTACTTGCATATGCTTCACGCATCCTAGGAATTACTATTTGATATAAGTTCGAAACTAAGTTTACACTGCATATTATGAGCAATAAACTGAATTGTTGTTAACTAGAATAACTTATAGTGAACTAAGTTTGATTCGTAGACTTGTGTTTGATTAACTGACGAATCTGTACTTAGTTGACTGGTAAGCTTGACTAGTCAATCCAGCATAATTTAATTCATAATTGCTTTGTAATTGCTGTTTGCGTAATAAACTTATATGTACATGTGTTCAAGTTTAGGAATCATTGTTGTGAAACTAATCTGGGCAGACTTTGATTAGTTGAACATATTGGTCAGTTAGGTTTTGTTTTTGCAGCTGTACTTTTGATCACTGACTAACTTGTAACTAGTTGACTAGCTCATTTGACTAGTCTACTATGCAAAGTTTTTTTTTTCCATGATATTTCACCTAGTACCCAATTTCACAACCAAAATTCTATACATTTTAAGGGCCTCCCTTGGGGTCTCACATAAGACCTCCAAAATCTCAAGATTGATCCTGAATGTCGACTTGAGTATCGTAAATATTGGTGAGAATCCATTGCCATGAAAACCTAAGGGTTCCTTGCAAGCCTCGTATGGTGCAAATTTCAAAGGTTAATCAAGTAAGAAAACTCTCAATGGCTCTCTCCAGTTTTTGTTCACCATTGCTAGCCAAGGAAGAGAATGCTCCCTCCACACTGCACTCTTTCATATTGGATTTTCAAAGTTGTTCTATATCTTGGTGAGTGGAAGAAAGGAACAACTATGGGATTTCTTTTGCAGTAGATGATTTTGGAAGATCTTTTCCACTAAGGTTATTAGGTTCAAATAGTTGTGGTGTGTTTCGGTTCCACTAAGGTTGCTAGATAAGTCCAGAACCATAAAGAACAAACACTATAATATCTAGATGAGTCTAGTAAGGTTATTTGAGTGATGCCATTTTAATTACACGATTAAGCATCAATGCACCAATCTTGATGCCTTCTTAAAAAGAAGGTTGATGTATAAAATTCACCTTAATACGGAAAAGGTCGTAACCGAGGTAGTCAACCAATATCTATTAACTGGCATTCCTATCAAATGTTGAATTCACTACCCTAGAAACACCTCAAAGGAATACAAATTCCATACGATTTTCCTTGGTGAAGAAATTGGATTACTAGATAGAAGTGCTAGATTGAAGAAATTTTGGAGACATTAAAAGAAGACACAAACAAACAAAATAGGAAGCTAAAAAACACAAACAAGAACATATTTTCAAGGAGGCGGCCTAATATGACTAATTGGTTAGGCAATCAAATTTCAATTGACCAAAATTGCTGGATTCTCATGGGAAAGCAAAACAAAAGGAAAGTTAATGGGATTAGGAGAGAGAAACAAAGTCATAATTAAAAAATGTTTCATAATTTTATTTTAAATGTATGTTTTTATTTAAAAAAATTAAATTAATTGTCATATTAGGTTAAATTTCAACTATTGATAGTTTGATAATCTAATGGTGTAAATTTGTGTCAAATCTTGTGTAAAAATTATAGTGCCATGGATCTACTCCTTTCCCCTTTTGTTTAAGATATCTCCATGTTTTGGTAAAAATGAGGACTAGTTGTGGGGCCAACTCCACTTCAAACTTTAACGATTCAAACCGCATATTTTTCAAGTTGCACTTTATAAATCACCCTTGGAAAATATTAGCCAATTCATAAATGTTTGACAAATTTAGTCAAGTTCAAAGAAATTGACAACCACTATGTTCTAAGATTTTTTTTTTTTTTTTTTTTGTCAAACAATAGATTTGTTAAATTAGATGTTAGATTAGAGAACTGATAGAGTTCGAACGCACATTGTGGTGCAAGGGCAACAATCATCTTCATGATGAAATTTTACTTTTTAAGAAAAATGGAAATTGCAACTTTTCCATTTCGGCTAGAAGACATGATCATCTGTTAGAACCTCACTTCAACATTTACTCAAATGCAAGATATACTAACCAGAATACTAATACAAACAAATATTCATTCACCCTTTACATCTGCACATATCTTAGCTTATATCGTTGGTTGCAGGCTAAAGGTCTTCAACAACAATTGAGACAGCAAGGCTAGCTAAGTGATGCCACTTGGCATCCTAGCATCAATTGTAACATCCCACATCGTCCAAGAGAGTGGATCCTGTAAGCCTTATATGTATATTCCCATCTCTACCTAGCACGAGGCCATTTGGGAGCTCACTGGCTTCAGGTTTCATGGGAACTCCAAAGTTAAGCGAGTAGCACGTCCAAAGTTAAGCGAGTAGCACGCGAAAGCACTCCCATGATGGGTGACCTAGTAGGAAGTTCTCGTGTGAGTTCCCAGAAACAAAACCGTGAGGGCGTAGTCGGGGCCCAAAGCGGACAATATTGTGCTACGGTGGAGTTGAGCCCGGGATTTGATGGGGGCCCGGACCGAGGTGTGACAATTTGGTTCCCTAGCAGCCAATGCTTCCAATTGAAGGGGAGAGAACACAAAACCAAACCGTTTGGCACGAGCAGCCACAAACGAACCCAATTCATCCCGGACAATAATACCTACGCACCCCAGTATACTAACTTCACACAATGCGCCATCGACATTGATCTTCAGACAACCCGAGGGAGGTTTGATCCACCTCACCTCTGGCGAAACTAATATCAGTTGAAAATACTGGTGCACAATATATTTGAACATACATGACTATTTCAAACCAATATCAGTTGAATAGTCATGTACTTCTAATTAATTTGAAAAGGTGCAACTCTCTCTATACATACTCAACGTTGGCAAAGAAGAATTTATTCAGGAAATATGTTTTCAACACAATTTCCTTTTTCCTTGTTTTTTCTTCTCTCCTCACATTCATACAATTTCCTTCTAGTTACTTTTAAGGGAAGAATTTGGTTTTACTTATCGAATATTTCATACTTAGTTGTATTATAAAAGTGATTTGCCAAGAACCTTTTAGCAAACTCATTCGAGTGAGACAAATAACACTTTAAAAAAACGACTCAAGTCGTATCTCAAAGTCATCTTTTATATTCTTCGTTTTTCTATATTTACATGTTCTCAAGTTAAATAATAGGAAATGCTAGTAAGACCATGTTGTTAGACTATATAATGTGACAATTGATAGTTGAATTTTTTTAGATTACTTATTTAGTTTTTGAGACGCTACGTTGTTTAATTTGTTTTTGACATATTAAATAACAATTTGCCCATGTAAGACCAACTCCAAAGGGCAGACCCAAATCCAAATATTTGGTTTAAATCCGAAAAATGCATCCAATGGGGAGACATAAACACAAAAAATTCGGCTTTGGACCCAAACTAAATTTAAATTTGGTTTTCTACTTGGCTGATCCAAATTTTTTTTTCAAATTCAACAACTAAAATTTAAATTGAACTGTCAAGATAATAAAATAAATATTTTAAAACATATTCACTTTACAAAATTATCACAAACTTTGTAAATACTCATTCATTTGATCAATCATTTATATTATGATTTGTTCGGTTTTGAAAATTTTGTTGAAATTTCTTTTTTTTTTTTTTTTTTTTTTTGGGTTAAGACATTCATAAAATTAAATTAAGATTACATAACTCAAAGTTACAAAAAAAATCTTTACCACAAAAAATTAGGGTTAAAACCATTCCACCAAAAATTAATACATTTTAGGTCCTGAAATTTAGATCTTAAGGGTTGAGTTATAGACCCAAATTCTATCTTTTAGTGGACCTAAGTATTTGGGTTTTGGTGAAGTTGGTCTAACATAGTTTATTTTATTTTATTTTATAAAAATAGCAAAAGTCAGAAATCTCCCTCACTTGCACCCATCGAGGATGCCGCTCCTCCCTCGAAAATTGATCATGTGTCCAAAAATATTTTAGAATTTTTCATAGGGTAATGTTAGGGAGACCAAATTTGTAGATCAAATTTTGTAAATCATATGATATGGAAGTTGATGAATGAATATTACTTAGTGTTGATTAAAGTGTTTATTCCTTATTAGTGACACATCATTTGGTTTGCAAATTTGGTCTACAAACTTAATCTACGTAGCATTACCCTTTTGCATATGTTCCACTTGTAAATTCTCTCTCTCAAACACTTACACATAAAGTGGTACAATAAACGGATAGACACCCTAATTATATCAGACATCCGAAAAAAATTAGGATCAAAATGAGAATGTATGTTAAAATTTTGAATTACGATAAATATTGAGTTTTCAAAAAATGATCCAAAATTTTTATTTGGTGTTGTAGGCCTAATTTAACTGAACAATATAGAGAGGGGTGCGGCACGACAAAAAGTAAAGGAAAGAGATGTGTGATTCTGAGGAGTTGTGCTATGTCACTGATTATGCCTTTATTTATAGTAGTAAGGAAGGTAAATTCCTTACCTCATAAGATTACAATTCTAATATGATAATATCTAATCTAAGAGATATGATAAAATCTTATAAAAATATACCAAGATATTATAAGATACATGATCACATTCCTAATCTAATAAGACTACAACATTCGAAACATTTTTGAATTGCAATTAGAAACTCTTTATGATTCAATCCATTCCAAAATAAAGCTTTTGTGCACATAAAGCCCAAGAATATGGTCCCTTTTAGACTTTGGGTAGTCCAAGCTGAGCCCAAATAAACTGGGTTCTCTTTGCGTTACAATTCCAAATTAATAAAAAACCTAAACGAACCAGACACAGCAAGAGAAGAGAAGAAGAGGAAGAAGAAGATGATATACAGGAAATGGAGTCTGTTAACGGGACCCGTCACGATCTTGGGGGGCATAGTAGGCACTGTCGTCGTCGCCAACTTCGTCTTCAATGATAACGTAATTTCCATTTTTATTCATTTATCTCTTCATATTTTTATTTTATAGAATTTCGGATTCATCAACTGGAATATTTCTTTCTTTCAAATCCACGAATTGTGTTAAACTATCGATTCATCAAATGAGCCTATTGGGTTATGATTTATGTATCTAGATCCTGCTTCTTCGAGTGGGAAAAAAATCTAGGGTTTCAGTGCTTCATTTTCTTAATTCAAGTTTTAGGAATTTTAGGTTTCTGCTAATTTACATCGATTTGAGCATCTGGGTGTGTTTAATATGCCTAAATTCCTGCCAAATGAGACTTAAATCAGTATTTTAGCTTTCCCAATTGGAGCTTGCTGTGGTTCAATGTGCCCGGTTGCTGTCTGATCAAAAATCATCATCATATACGTGTGTGTGTGTGTGTGTGTGTGTATCATGAAAACATTTAAATAATTGCTGGGTTATGTTGTATATTTGCTTAACTTGTTTGCAGACACGAGCATTGTAATTTACATTTTGCTGAATTATGCAGGATCGATTTCTGAAGCCGGAGGCAAGGAAGGCGGATGCATCCACTTCAAGCAAATAAGAGGAGGAAGGTGAAACAGCTGCATTTTCAAAGTAATTCAAGCTTTTAGCTTTCTGTCTTTATTTGTTGTTCTGCAAAATTGTGGTGATGCTGCACCTTCAGACATGACTTGTCGGTTTAATAATCCAGAATTCAAATGTGAGTTCTGATTTAAGGTTGTGTAGTTAAATTTCGTGGGATATGTTCTCTCTGTTGTCTTGACATTTCTTGCTTTTCAAGCTGAGAAGAATTAATCAAATTCCATTGCTTCTGTTATCACGATCATGTTGATTATTGTTTAGTAGTTTTATTTTATTTCAGTAGTACGTATATGACGCATATAGACATTTAGGCCCTGCAAATACCCGTGAGGTTTTAGCTCGGGTGGTGTTTGTATGATTGAATGGCAGATTCTAGGTTCGGTTCTTGTATAAAGAAGAAACGCTTTGGCGAACTGCAAATCTGCACTGTCCTACGGCCGCGTGATGCTGGCCAAGAACTCGGAGAACTTCAGAGGGGTAAGGTGCAACAGTATTGCTTTATATGATGCTAGTAGTTGTGAAGCAGGGAGACCTGTAAGTCATAAATTGCTTCTTAACGATGAACTTGTGTGGAATTTTGGCACTCTTCTTTTCAGCAATGGTAATGGTAGATACATAAGTTTACAGAAATGGGATTTTTTTGTGAGATTTGTAGTTTCATTTATAAGCTCTGATGTATTTCGGGTCAGCGTCGCGCCTGTTTTAGGCACAGATTTGCTTACAGGATTGCAAATGCTTGTGAGCTTGATAAGCCAAGAGTTCGATCATTGATATTTTTCGCCGTTGACCAACAATTCCATAGCCAAATCATTCCAAGAGTCTATTGGCCAGGCAAGCACCAATGTAGGCAATCATTCTGGACTTTGGCATTCTTATCCTTTGCAAATGGCTGGAACTGCCTGTACGGACCTGGGTGCCCATCGGGTCTCAATAGCGAAAGGTGGGTTGTGTCCAGTAGTTTAAAGTTCACCCCCTTCTCCGATCCTTCGGCCGCAGCCTTCTCGAATTCTTCCAGCTCGATGTTTTGCATTGCAGCATCTACATCTTTTATATCAACCTCACCCTCTTTGAATGGCGCTGATCTATTGCAATACCCCCCACTGAACCACTCTCCATTCTCAAAATGGTCAGGCGTGGTGGTTCTAAATAATACAAGCGCTTTATGATCCGAACGAGTGATGAAATTGAAAACCAGACGGAGGGCACTGCGATAGGCGTAGTCAAACCTAAACTCCGTTAAGTTCTTTCCAGGGCAGTAATGGCAGCCTCTGACCGTGTTGTTCTCATGGTAAATTGCGGTTTTCAGGAACCATTTTCCTCCGGCAATCACCACGTAATCCAAGCTGTTATACTGATCGGTCCATGTCTTGTCGAGTTCGTCAAGATAAAGCTGAATTTCGGAAGTAGAAACTCCGTTCATGTCTTCAAAAATGGCCGCTTTGACGAGAAACGGAGTCCAAATTACGGAAACAGTGAAATTGTAAGATGGGAAAAGCCATCTTTTAGACCTGTATTCTTTGTCATGGTATACCTCAACAGCTTGCTCCACCTGCGGGACATAGACACTGAATTGTGACCGATATTATCATTTGGCACCAGAAAATGGAGAGCCAGCAAAGAATATATGCACAACGCTACACAACAGATAACTAGTGCAGACAGTAAGTATAATCTATAAGAATGTCAGGTCATGGTAGGTCCTGTATCTACACCGGAATTATAGGGTCCGAATTTATACATATACAGGTCATATCGACCACTATGCGGTCGGTACATACGAGAGAGACTTCCTTGACCCGGTTTCCCTATCCCCCTCGTCCAATTTCTTTTTTACGAGCTCACGTGAGAAGCGAGAGGATGAGTGAGATAGGGAAACCGGGGTAGGTAAGAACTTTTCCACGCTGATAATTGCATATAAAAACTTGTAGGAGGCAAGTCATACATCAGTAATTATTAACGTTCCCAAAACGACGTTGGAATTGAAACAATTATGATCCCAGATAGATAGTAGGCAAACCAGCTATGAAAAAGATTCTACAACCAGTTAAAAAGCAGTGGTCACCATAGAAGTTCAGCTGTAATCCACAATTTTGTATAAAAATTTATGGCTTGAAGTAGGATTGCTAACCACAGATCGAAAATTATGACAAAGACGTGCAGGTGAAGCCAAGAAAAAGTTTGAATGCTTTTTATGGAGTAATCAAAGAAAGTAGGACCAATGCCCCCATGATTAATACACATTAACCGCTTGTCCCACAACATAATTTGATCTAAACTAGATCTAGACTTCCATACAATTTCCAAGGAGAAAAGGTTGCTAAGGTTTCAACTTTTGAAAGTAAATAATACTTTGTTTTCGCCGGTTTTTATTTTTTAAAACGTCGTTTTAATGCAACAATTGTCGTCCATGAGATTTGAAATCAGGGCGTCCTCCAACAAAGTGAAAACTCAGTGCGACTAAGACCAAATTGTCATAGACTCATAGAAACTATTGTGGTTAACTGGAAATGCAAAATTAACAGAGTTTAGTAGTTCTAAAGCGTACAGATTCAGTAAACATAAGCTAGATTTCAACGGTGATTCAAAGTCCTGAAAAGTTAGCAGTAAATTGCTTTCGATGTGTACCTGAGAGAGAATGCAAAGCAATGACTGCACATGGTTACGCGAAATCGAATCACCAATGAAGGCCCATGATTTGTTCCTCATTATACCAAGAAAACTCTGCGGATTGAACTTGGGTAGCTCACAGTCTCTTGGGTTCCACCTCCAGTAAAAGTAGTCGGAATCGGGGCGACCGTTCTTCATACAATTCTGATGAGGTTCCACCACATGGCAGCTTTCATTAGTGTATCTTGGACCTGACGGATCTGGTACCCAATCTCCAGTAAAAAGGTCACACTTCACTGCAAGTACGTTATTTAGTAAAAGTAAGTAAATCAGTTGCATACTTGCATTAAAAGAAGAGCAGAATGTTGTGCCGGATTGGTCGCTCATAACCTTTGGACTCTACGACCCGATGAAAAAAAAAAAATCTACATACTGCAAACTTTTCAGTGCCAAAATTTGCAAAAGAAATTAGAATTATAAATGCAGTTCTTTCTAATGATTTGGGATTTCACAGCTAGAAATTTACCAAATAAATATATCTAAGAACTGATTATCCTAGAAAATAAAATTAATGAAAAACAACTCCACATTGATTAAATTAACAGTGTGGGTTAAAACTACAAAAGCAAGTGGAGAAAGTTGATCCTAAAAAAATGAAGAATTTTAATATTCATGCATGAATGCAAAAGGAAGGGACAAATCACTCCAAATGGAAAGAAAAAAAAAAAAATCAAGTCTATAACTGAAAAATGCATCCCCTCTGTCCCCAGAAAAATTAAAAAAAAAAAAAAAAAGGTAAGCATGAATTTCCATTTGTAAATTAGTACTAAAACTGTATAAAGTTTCAAAAAATGAAAATAAACACGTTCATTTAAAAGAGAGCAGAGCAAAAGCACAAAACAGAGCAGAAATAAAATATAATTACTACCATTGTCATGTGTATGGGAGGTATTTCCAGGAAAATCAACAATTGTAGAGTTTTGAATTTGACCAGGAAATAAAGAAGAATCGGAAACAGCGGAGGAGAGGAGGAGGAGGAGTCTGTTTGTTGTTGGTCTGCAAATGCAAGAGGAGGTGGCCCTACTGGTAAATTTAATCCGATAGGAAGCACAGAATCGGAAAACAAGAGTCGAAAGGCGAGACCAACTAAGAGAAAAGAGACTGCAAGCTTCACAAACACATGGTTGTTTTTGTGGAATGACAATATTGGGTTCGATTCAACCTTCAGTTCCTTCACCATCTCAAGGGTCCGAGAGAGAGAAGAATTTTAAGAATATTTAAAAGAAAAACAGAGGTGATGAAATGAGCTGGTTTTTGTTTTTGCAACAAAACAACCCAAACGAGGTTTTAGTTTTGATTTTGTTTCAGGAAGAAAATATGTTGTTTTGTTTTGATAATTGTGATTTAGGTGCATTAGAGTATCTTAAAATTAAATAAAATGAAAACTAATAAAAATGGTTTGAAAATTTTGAGTTTTAATGATAAGAATAAAATAAAAAGTAAAGTAAATAGTACCAAGATTGACTTTTTAGTGTAAAAATATGATTTTTCGTTAAAATGAACAATTACATGAGCTTTTCGTTAAAACTTCCCTAAATAAAATGCTAAAATATATAAATTAGTACTAACATTAAATAAAAAAAACAGCAATAATGTTTTTCAACTAAAATACAAATGTACCTTTTAGGTACTAATTCAACTTCTATATCTCTAGTATTTTCTCGTTGTCAAATTTAAACTTTATGTTTAAGAATTAGGGTTAATTACATTTTATCCTTTTAGACTTGGATTGATTTCAATTTCTTACAATATCTTTAAAACATTTCAATTTCATATATTAACTTATCATTTTATTTCAATTTCATACATTAAATAAACCGTTAAGTGATGATGTAGCTGACATATTTGTACCACGTGGAAAAAAAAAATATTTTTTTATGCATTTAAAATATTATAATAATTTATCCTGTTAAAATAAATAAATAACTAACTGAAAAGCCCACCTGCAACCGACTCCTTCCCCGCAACCCAAACCCTCCCATCTCATCCCACCCCACCCCACGTCCCCTTTCCCCTTCTCTGTCCAATGCTCAGTCGCCATTGTGCCCACCGCGGCCGCCAAGGCCTCCAAGGAGTACAAGGTCAAGTCGAGGAGGAAGATTCGGATCGAGAGAGAAGTGTTGGGGTCGATGTGGATGTCCTTGGTGGCAATGCCGTCGTCGAATATCGGATTGGGGGGCAGCGATTGTTTCTTCGGGTATGGGAGGTGACGCCAAATGGGTTGAACTCGTTGGGTTGGGTTTGGATCCGGCTCTGCAAACGGTGCTTCAAGAGGAACGCTTGGCATTTCTATCTCTCTCTCTCTCTCTCTCCTCTCTTTCTCTCTCTACAAATTGGGAGATTTACAGAGACTGGAAAAATGAGAAATGGGGAGTGGGGGAGGTGGGGTGGGATGGGGTGGGGCGGAGATGAGGGCGTAGGTCCCCGGGGGGGGGGGTATGGTTTCTGGGTTCGGGTGGGATATTTGGACGTGGCGGCGGTCTCCGGGAAAGTGGGGGTGGGGTGTTTGGTTGCGGGGAAAGGGGGATGGCTCGGGGAAGAAGATGGCTTTTATTATTTATTTATTTTTAAATAGTATAAATTATTATAATATTTTAAATGCATAAAAATAATAAATAATAAAAAATTTGTCACATGGCATAATTGTGATAGCCACGTCAGCACCACTTCATCACTTAACAGATTTTTTAACGTATATATGAAATGAAAATAAAATTATAAGTCAATTTATGAAATTAAAATGTTTTAAAGATGTTGTAAGAAATTAAAATCGACTCTAACCTTTGTAAAATAGCCTAAGATTTAACATCTTTTTATCTCTTTGTGAAGATGATCATATGTCTTCTTAATAGAGAGAGACGTGTTGTTTGTAGGCTGCTACTGGCGCCGCGTGCCTAAGTAGAAATGAGTGTTCTATTCTGAGCTTTTTTTTTTTTTGGACAAAATTCTGAGCTTTTTTGAAATACAATAAAAGGCTATGTTTGGTTCAGATGCATTCAACTTTTTAATCATTTTTTTTTTATTTTATAGTGTTAAGATGTGAGCATCAAGCAAAAATTGTGAGTCGTGTAGTAGAACACATGTGAGAGTTAAAACTCAACATATAAATTGTATGTTTTGTTACCATGTTAGAATGTGGGAATTCAATTCAAAATTAAGTAGAAAACAAATTATTTAAACTTATTATGCAAGGGTTTAATTCAATAATGTAATATATTTCGACACTTTTAAGTTTTCAACACTTTGTATAACAATATTTTTTGAGTTGACAAAACAATGCAATTATATAAATCATCCTATGTGTTACTGACACACCCCGATCAAAATCAAGGCGTAATGGTGGCCGGATTATCGTGGATTTTTCCGGCGAGATCCCGTTGGATTTAAGTCCTAAAAGTGGTAAGGTTTTGTTCTACTTGTTGTAAGCTTCATTTTGGTACAAATTTCATGGATTTTGGTTAGAGAAATGAGAAAGATATGAAGTTTTAAAGTTCTTCAGAAACCGGCGAAAATTCGAGTTTCAGACGACAGCTTTGACAGATTATCATCATTGTAGGATTAACTTTGATGTTGTATAATTAATATTCGTTCTACTGGACTGCACTTAGGCTACTTATGTTCTGATACCAAATTGACACACCTCGACCGAAATCAAGGTGTGACGGCCAGCACGCCTTGATTTCGGTCGAGGTGTGTCAGTTACATTTATTATTTTGGAGTGTGATTGTGTAAATTTAGAAGTAGAATTTCAATTGAATTCATGATATATAATCTCTTTATGACTTGTGCTACCTGTAAGGCAAGTAAATTCTATCTAAATAGTATAAATAAAGGCATAAGGCCACAACAGAAGGCACGCAATTCACATACATATTTTTCCTTCAACACTACGATGTATTTTTGCTTCGCTTACCATATACTTAGGAATCAAATTGATTAACTATTTAAATTCACAGAGAGGGAAATAATTATTTATCAGGACAAATCATTCTATTTTGTATTTATATCTGTTAATGTGAGGTTTGGACTCTGGGGAGTAATTTGCTTGACAAAAAATGTCTTGACAAATAGGACCAATTATGCTGTAGACTAACGGTGATTAATAAAAATAACTTCTTCTTTTTTTTATGTGGTTTTAATTTCTTTTCCTTTATCTAGAGGTGGCAGGAATCAATTTAAATGTGCTTAGCCAATAGAAAAAGAAGAAAATAAAAAGAAGGTTGGTAGTAACATGAGCAAAGAATGTATGTCATAAGAATATTTTTTTTTTTTACTTATAAGTGAAAGATTTTAGGTTTGATTTTCGTCAAAGACGAAGTTAAACCATATTATTATGGTAAACTTATTGTAAGACTTAATTCATTCCTTCATTCTTTTAATGTAGATATAATCGTTTATTAAAAAAAAAATTATTGAGTTAAATATGTTTTTTGTCTTATTTTTTGTTTGCAAATCGCAATGCTCATGACATGACATGCACTGCCCACCTCACATCTTGATCCGAATTTTGATCAGTAAAACAGTAGTGGGTAGATTATTAAATTAGAGCACTGCTATTTATACATCTCGTTTTATCTCCGCACATCTTAATTAATTTTTATCTATTTATTTTTTTCAATTCATTGATTCAATAGCTGGAAATTAAGGGGAATGTATAAGAGGTAAAAATTAGTGTGTGAATAATATCATCTAAAAATCATCCCTTTATAGCTAGCTGAAACTTGTGCAGCAGCTTTAAATCCTGAATTGTTTTACGAAGAAGGATTCTTTCTGGATTCTCTTTGTGAAAATCTCAGATATTCTCAAATCGTGTTCTTTTATCGTGTATTTTACAGACAGTTTTCTTCAGGTACTGTTCATGTTTAATTTTAAATAAAAATATTTTAAATAATTTTTAACCGTACGATGTACGATGAACGAACACGTTTTAAGAATCCTCATTATTGTTTTACATCAAGAGTGGAGCAGTTTTCTGAATCATATTGGAATTTTTTTTTTTTCTCTTCTTTCCATGTTGCCGACATTGATTATACCCCATTTGGTGATTTGCTACCATGCAATCATTCCGTCCGGCTCCTTTTATTTTCTTTGCTGGATGATTACTTGTAAATTAATCCACCTATTTTTCTTTTTAATCATTTTTTTAAAGTAATATATGCATGAATGAATTATATTATTTGGCTGCCTACGACTATCACACTGAAAATTTTTATATTATAAAGTAATGTTACGCAATGAGTTGTTTAAATCCATACATTCTTCTACTTTTTTCCATACGAATACAAATACAACCTTTTTGTGCATTATGGTAAACCTGGTAATTTCTTACATAATCTATTAACACGACACGAAAATAACGAATTTTAGATCAATACAATAACTTTACAATCTTTTTGACTTTACAATCTTTTTGTGCAGTATGGTAAACCTGACAATTTTTCATACTTCTACTTTATAGTATATTATAGGCTAAGAGTGAGATTAAAGAATTATAAAGCACATTAAAAATAAAAATATTAAGTAATTTAAAAATACCAAACACATTAAAAAATTATAATAATTAATTTACAAGTGTGAAAAAATGTGAAAATATAAGAAAATGCTCATAATTGCATCCTCTACGCTTTGAAGATGGGTACATTATCGTTTGAATTTTTAAAACCATACAACCCCTCATGAATAGTATTTTTAAGAGAGTTCAAAATAAATAAAATTCATAATCATTAATATATAAGTCTGAAAAATATGAAAACATATATAAACAATCGTAATTACATCTTCTACGCTTAGATGATGGTTACATGGTTGTTTAGATTTTCAAAACCCTTCAAATATCATGAATAGTATTTTTATTTGAGTGCAAAATTAATAATTGTAGAAGTGTGAAACGTGTCAAAAAATATATACAATCACTCGTAATGACAAGTTTTACAACTTTCGTGAACAGGTCAACTCAAAAATTTAGTATGTATATACTAATTTAGTATTATGTTTTACATCTTTTCAGTCACATTATGTTTTTCATTTGCACAATTTATTGATCTAAAATATTTTTTTTCTTAACAGGTAACGGATCGGGTCATATTACCTGATAATATTAACGGGTCAATCTCAGGTCGGGTCATATTACCTATTTACTTTAACGGATGTTACACGACACGACCCTTTAAGCTATCGGGTATGACACGAACATGAGAAACACGACATGAATGTTAGGTCTATAGTATGGAAAGCATGTATTTTCAAATCCAAACATTCTTCTACTTTTTTCCATACAAATACAACCTTTTTGTGTAGAATGGGAAGCATGAATTTAAAATAAT